CTGCTGATGCAGTATATCAGCACACTTGCGATACAGTTTTGCACGAGTACTGCACCCACAAAGAATTTCCGGGACCGAGAAGCTCCGGACTGTGCCGTGTTTGCGCAACAGGTTCGGGGTCAGCAGCAGCATGGCGTCCGACAGGAGCGGCCGCCACTGCAGCGCCACGCCGCACAGCGGCATCGTCAGCGCCCTGCCCAGCTGTCACAGCAGAGGCAGAACAACGTTTCACAGGGAGTTTCGCAGACCAGACCGCACAGCGCCAGAGGAGGTGCAGCACGGTCTTCTGGGCAGGCTATGTCAGGCCGTTCGAATGGCCCTTTCCAACAGCCACAGGTATCACCGCAAAGAGGTGAGCAGCAGCAGCTGCTTCATCATCCACCGCATACGCCAAATCAACGGCCGGCTTCTGTACAAGGTACTCAAATGCAGCAGGGACAAGGACTGGAAGCAAAAGCGAAAGCTTTACTCTCAGTGTTAAGAGCAGATAGAACAGAACCGAATTCGTAAGAGGGATAAATTACTCCTGAATTTGTGTGCGAATCNTGTTAAGAGCAGATAGAACAGAACCGAATTCGTAAGAGGGATAAATTACTCCTGAATTTGTGTGCGAATCTTCCGCCATCTCCATCTGCTTCGTCTTCTGGCGCGTCGAGGGCTAACTCTCGTGGGTATGTTGGAATACGCAGCCGGCAGCACATAGATTCATATACTCAGTAATATTGGAAGGGCTTGCGAATTTTTTCAAATGGCAGCAGCGATGGAGTTTTACCCGTCGCTGAACTCTACGGACGCAACTTCACCTTCGTATTCCTTGCATACGGCTCGTGACCCCAGCTAACCGCATGCTGCTGCTCATCGTGAACTGTTCTTTACATTACTTTACTTTGATCAAAACACAAGATAGCGCATAAGTTGGCCATGAGGAAGCCAACTTTTGTGCTACCTTCGTGAGGGTGCTTCTGTTTAGCTCAAGCCACTGGCAATGGAAATTTCGAGAAATGGGAAAAGGCTGCACAGAAAACATTAAACCAACTGATTCGACCTTGGAAATATACACCTGGACATTTACATGCAGAATTCTAAAGCATCGATAACATTGTACCATGCCTGGAAAGTGCCTTATCTATGTATTACCTATCCATTCTAGCAATTAGCATGCTTGCCTTTCGTATTCTTCTGTAAGAAGCGCGGGATATTGGTAAATCTGAACAGTGCTTGGGACTGATCCCGGAATGAGTTCGATGCTGTGCATTGGGCGTCCAGCGGGTGGACGGCCAACTGGAAGTTCCTCGATTTTTAGTGTATCTGAGAACTTTTCCTTGGACCTTATCCGCTTCTGCTCTTCCTCGGCTAGTAGCTGTACCGTGTCCCCCAAAGCCGCTCTCTTTCTAGGACTATCAAGACGGAACCCATGCATTTCTATGACGCTCCCGGCAGCACCGTGTTGGAGCCTCCTTGCTCATTTCTTCTTGGGCTGCTGCCAGCATTGAAACAGACACTGTATCTTTTCGGGTGCATTTTGACGACTAAAGGACAACTCCGGAGAAGTACGGGACTTGTCCGCGTTTAGTCCATCGCGGCGCCAGTCATTTCTGGACTGAGCAGGTGCGGTGAAATTTTTCACGAACTGGCTTCAGCGTAAAGGCATTTCTCACTGGAGGGGATGCAGACACTAAACTCGTCTTATAGGGACATAGAAAGAGCGTAATTAGAGCTAGAGGGAAAGTTGGCCACCTCGAAGCTGGAGGGCAGATCCTCGCCAACCTCCGCATAACGGCAGGTGGATAGGAAGTAAGATTTACGGCAAAAATTCTAGGGAGAATATCGCACTTTTTGCTAGTCAGTGCTGCGCACCAGTTCGGCAAGTTGTGCGGGATGGAGTTGGCTGCTCGCAGCTGCCCCAATGAACGATGCTGTGAAATCACTTGTAATGAGACTCCAGTATGGTAGAAGAGGGCTGTCGTTAGGTGCACTACACTCACGGGCTCAAGGGGAGAGCTCTCAAGGAGCATCTGATATCTCATGCAGTTTGCGCAACTCCTGGAGGCACTTGGACACGGCCCTCTGGCGCCTCTAGCTGGTAAGAAATGCAGTGTACCTTGCTGCAGCCGCTAGTGCGAGGACATATCACTTGAAATTACAGTGAATCAAGCTTTCCTGCATCTGGAGACAATTGTTAGACACATACTTGGACCCCAATAGCCAGTAGGAACACAAGTAGAACGGCAGGCAGGCCTTGCGAGAATGGAGTGAGGACTCCCACCCATCGTAGCTTGCCGGTGGAGCTGGTCCGTCTAGTCGCGTGCAGATTGGCCAGAGAGGGCCAAGTAGGCACTCAACAGTCGCCTATAGTGTTAGGGTATGCAGCTAAATGGGTCCGGTTCTGCCTACATGTAGAGTTGCGTTGCAGCACCAGTTCCAGTAGGGTGTGTTGAGATCCGTGTCAAACGGCCGCGGACCCGGCCCCAGGCCCTTGGGTCACCGGTCCCAGACTGTCCGGTGACTAGAGAGATCAGCTGTTTTCATCTTAAGTGTTTCGGCTCTATTGTAGCTAGTGACGGTCTACTGATAAGAAGGACGGCTCTCGTTCCAGTCAGTTACCCAGTCACCTAAGTGTCTTGCACCTGATGACGGTCCTCTGCAGGGAACGGTTACTCTCGTAACAGAAAACTCGTCTTGATGAGTTTGATACTATCGTTTAGAATCATTAAAACACGTGCTTGGCACTCGGTTAGCTGCAAGCAGACGAGAATCGACACACCCACCAGCACCTGTAAGACCCTGCTACACTCCGCACTAAAATGCCTACTGTAGAGCCCTCAACAAAACAACATAAATACGTTATTTCTGTGAAAAAAGCGGGAAGGCACTCATGATCAGCTGCCATTGACAGCCTCTTGTATCTCAAGGCTCCCCAGGTGAGCGGTTGAACGATTGGAAGAGAAGCAGACGCACGTACTTAACCTCTGCGGTAAGCGGTGTGAAGCAGTGTGGTTCTTGCATTTTTGCCTTGTAGTCATTAGCTATATTGCTCCTAAGAGTGCCAGATCCCCTATAAATCAGGTCCTGTATTCGCATCCATTCTGCGCGTCCACAGGCAACACCTAGAGACGGGGGGGAAGGGTAGGAGGAATTAGAGCGTTGCCACCATTTTTATAGGCTAGCGTGTTGTTATTATTTGTATAGTAAATTTACAGACCCAGTTTGGACTAATAGTGAATGGCACCCCAGTATGAGTTGTGCAATGAGAAACATGAATATGTAGCTTTGCGACGCTCAATCGGCTGAAGCAACTGCTCACCTGGCCAGCCCCCGCGATCCGTTTACTGCTCCCGTTCACATGATAAGCTTCTGAGGATAATTTAAGATGGTGGAGTAATTTTTTTGGTTTTTGAACTAGCACTTCCTTGGCTTCCCTTGGCCCGCCTTTGGCGCGTTTACTTTTCCGATCGAAGTGTTGACAGGATGAGTCGCAGGAGTACTATATTCGCCTCTGGTGGGGTGCATTCCCTGCTTCTTCTGGCCTACTTAGTAATATTTTTGAATGTTAAATGTTCAGAAGGGGCAGCTGTGAATAACAGCGACGGCGGATTGGTCGAGGCACAGGTGCAAGATGAGATGCACAAGCTTGACACGGAGGTTACTCCCCCCGCTATCCAGCCGCCTGATGGCAACGCCCAAGCCTCTCCAGAGATGCATTCTGCAGAGGGTGACGCGTATTTGCTGCAAAATAGGGAACAGCAGCCTATCCAGGGCAGAGGAACTCCCCACCCATCTACTTCTGGCATTTTAGGCCGCGTTGTTACGATGGGTCTGCTTGCCTCGGTTGTGGTCCTCATGGGTTTAGTATCTTGGGAGGTTATGAATTTTGTGGGTGATGTGCCCGATCCATTTAAAGATGTGAAGGATCCCACTTTAATCCCCGTGATGATCGAGGACATGTTGGCCGGGGGGAAGTCGATCGCCTTCGTTGTAAGGTGAGTTTCGCAGGCTTTGACCGCCAGTTCAGTCTGCTTGCAGTTCCCATGCATAGTCGAAGTGGCGGGAAGGAGGACATGTT